CGAGCGAAAAACTAGGATTCACACTGGACATATCCTTCTCCCATTCCCCATATTCTATCCTCCTCCAAGTTTTATTGATAGGATCTCAAATATATGTACAATTATTTTCCCTTTCACCATATTGTCTGCCAATAACTTTAAACTACCAACATCTCTCGCCTGGGTTAGTGAACTAGCTTCCTCATTCATCTTCCTGATTCTGTTCCCCACATTCTCCACCCTAATCCCCAGCTGAGTCTTATATGGGCTTTTCAAAAGACTGCATGAGTTTCCACATCTCTGCTTAAAATGTGGTTGATTTATTTACATCTAGGAGGCAGGTCTACATCCTTAGGTTCACCAACAAAATCATGAAAGCTATGGCCCCTCTCTGCTAAACCAGTTTCATCTCAAATCATGCCACTCTTGAGTTTTCTAGACTTTAATCTTACCGACCATCTTAATTTCCTTGAATGCCCTGTGCCTGCTCCATGCCACTTCCAACACAGGGACTTTGTACATGCTGTTCCATGTGTCTCTTTCTCCTTTCCCTAGCTATAACTTCATCTGCAATTGCACAGGTGTCATTGCCTCCAGCATGAACCACATGTCCCATCTCGTGCTGCCCTCTGTTGTGCTATGTAACGATGGCTTGTTCACACGCTCGTCTCCTTACCAGAGTAAGAGCTGCTTGCACAGCTCTTTGTATCCTTGCATCCTCAGCAAAAAGCACAGTATCTGGCACCTCACGTTTTGGAATGACTACAATAGGTCATTTAATATCGAGAAAATAAGTTGTAGGTGGTAAAAATCAATATATACTTTTATGGTACATTAGGGAACAGGTGTGATTTTCCAAGAAAATGTTTTCAAAGAGATTTTATAGAAAATAAGCAACAACATTTCCTTACTTTTTTTGTTTTGCCCATGGCCTTCAGGATGGAAAGATTTAGGTCTTCAAGTGCTGCTAGTACATTCTCATATTCACCCAAGTGCTGAGAAAAATATTCTAAAAGGAAGAATATTGAAAAAAGTTAATGTTTGCATTTAGGTATCCTAAAGAACAGCAAAACCAACTGATGATTAATTCCATAAATGAGCAAAACAAATTGCATGTTATAACTGAAAACTGGAAGGTTTTCAAAAGAGACTAAGGTGTCAATATATTCATTTCAAAAAAAAAAAAAACACCCTAAACAGTTACAATTATCCTTGAAGAAATGCTTTTTCCTACAATAGGGAAAAAAATGAATCTGGATCTATGGGCAAGACTATCACAATAAAAACTATTCTCAACAGCATATTATTACATTACTATAGTAATCATTAAGATAGTAGTTTCAGAAAAAAAATACATGACATTTTATCATCTCTCCTGGGAAACATTTAAGGAAGGTAAGCTCTCCTCATGGCTAAGAACTAATAAGGCTACAAAACACGAAGATGGCCCCCTTGGTATCTCTCATGTACTACTCCTGTCATAATTTATTTTTTCCACAATCTGGGCAGAGCAAAAGGTATATTTGCCACATTTTCAGTAGGCAGAAATAAATAATACATTGGGTGTTACAATTAAGAGTATGGAATATAGACGGTTCCCAAACGAGGTGAAATAGAGGAGAGATACATGTAAAACCTCATCTTTACTTACAGAGATCTATATATTTCTGAAATGAGAGATCTAGCTTGACCAAAACTCATAGAAAGTCATACGCTGAAGAGACCTAGAACTTTCAGTCACTAGAAAATCATCAGCCCTCACCATTCCTGTGAACTCATCATTGGATGAGCTGTAGTTTATTATTGCCTCTCCTTAGCGTGCCATAACTATTTGTGGAATCAAATAGAATGACAAGCATAATCCACATAAAGCTATTTGAAATCACTGAGATAAATTTCAGCATGTCTTATGGAAACTTTAATTTATTTCATACTCCAGATGGAATTATTTGTTGACACTGATATTAATAACAAATTGGGAGTACCACTGAATGATTTATTAGTAAGTGTGCAGAACTCATCTGAGAAGAAAAATAAACACAGGTGAGCAATAAATCAATTCTAGATTATGGCTGTCAAACTATGGTTTGTGTACACATGGATTAAAAACACACAGCATGTTTTTGACAAAAAGAAAATGCATTCCTGATGATGTAGTTCTTTAAAAATGTGTGGTGTATATCATCTTATAGAAAGGTTCGTTCAGGAAGGGATTAGTTGGAAGATAAATAAGGAAGCAGATACTCCTTAAATACCTGCTTGACGGTAACATTTTAATTCTTGGCTAGGATATTGACTTCCTCTGAGTGGTGACCAACGTGTCTGACCTTGTCCACGCCATTATTTGCAATCAATGAATAAAACCGTTTATGAAGTAGCAAGCAATTAATGTGGCTACAGAAAATCAATTTAAAAAAATTATTATCAGAACAGAATCCACACTAAGTTGCAACAAGGAAAACGTGTAAAGAAAAATGGAAAAAAGTAAAGCTGTTAGCACATTTTTACTTATTTATATACAAAGACTCAAAAAAGATTGTAATGGGGATCTTAAATGTAAGCATGCAGAAATAGATTAAGTGGAAAATAGGAATGTGGTGCTTAAAAATCAGGTTTAAGAAAAACAAAACAAGAAGGAACACCTCCTAAAATATTTTCATGAACAATATATCTGGCTTAACTGATGAAGGTCCCTGGAGAGAATATAAATGGTCTTGCCACTGTGAAATTAGATTTATGAAGGCACATGCTGATAAAACACATGGGAAGGTTTCTGAGCTGACACCTATCTAGCCTTCGTGCCTTCCTTCTTTTATTCATCCACTCATTCATCTCAATTATCAAAGCAGTTAGGGGGAAAAAAAATCACTCCCTAAGCAATACACTGGGACACAAAGAAAATAACTCTCAGAATAGAGAGAACTGCAGCACCTAAGCTCGGATAGGAGCTTAGGTGTAAGGGTTATTTTGAGGAGGTGCAGGTCAAAGTCACTCAGATTGTATTATAACTTAGTAAGGGGCACATTCCAGGGCAAGTGGGGCTCTAATGAACTTAAAGTGGGAAGTCAGACGAAAGAGCCAGGACATTTAATACCAATAAAAGGAGAGAATCCCCAATCTCCACTTCATCATGGTGAGCTTTCATACAGTCATTCCAGGACTTAACACACATTTACTTAGTGCCTTATTTAAGGAGCCTACAACCAGGTAGGGGAAATAAACATTCCAACAAATAACTGTTATACACATGATCATTGTGCCAGACAATGGTCCAAGAACCCAGAAAACTGTCCTTCAGAAATGGAGAGATAAACAGTTTTCCAGAGCAGCAAAACCAAAAGGAGTTCATCACCACTAGACCAGCCTTACCAGAAATGTGAAAGGGACTGCTTTAAGCTGAAATGAAAGGGTACTCATTAATTATTAATGAGAACACATATGAAAGTGTAAATCTCACTGGTAACTGTAAACATATAGTAAAATCCAAAATAATCTAATGTAAAGGTGGTGCGTTAATCGATTATAAAGCTAGTATGAAGGTTAAAAGACAAAAGTATTCAAATAATGATAATTACAATAATTTACTAGAACCACAAAATAAAAATATGCAAATTGGGATATCTAAAGCATAAAAATTTTCATGGAGGTGAGCGAGTAAAAAGTGTAGAGCTTTAGAGCATGTTCAAACATAAGTTGTTATTAAGTTAAAACAGACTGTTCTAATTGTTTTATGTAAGCCTCATGGTAACCACCTACACTAGGTACACACACACATACACACAGACAAAGAAAAAATTGAAATATACCACTACAGAAAAGCATCAAGTCACAAAGGAAGAAAGCAAGAGAAAAAGAAACAGAGGAACTACAAAACAGTCAGGAAACAATCAATGATACATAAATAAGCATATATGTATAAATACTTAGCTTAAATGTAAATGGACTAAATTCTCCAATGAAAAGACAGTGGATGAATGGATTGAAAATCTTTTGTTGCCACCAAGAGACTTATTTCAGATATAAGGACACAGACTGAAAGCGAAGGGATAGAAAAAGATCTTACATGCAATTAGAAACCAAAAGAAAGCTGAAGTAGCTATACTTAGATCAGATAAAACAGACTTTAAGACAAAGATTATAAAAAGAGACAAAGAAGGTTATTATGTAACAATAAAGGGCCAATCCACCAGAAGGATTACATTTGTAAATATACAGGCACATAACACAGGAGCACATAAATATATAAGGCATATATTAACAGATCTAAAGAGAGAAATAGACAATACAATATAGTAAGAGACTTTAATATGCCGCTTATATCAATAGACAGATATCCAAACAGAGAAATCAATAAAGAAACAATGGCCTTAAATGACACATTCGACCAGATAGACTACACACACACACACACACACACACACACACACACACACACACACAAACACACAGAACATTCCATCCAAAAGCAACAGAATACAAACTCTTCTCAAGTACACAACGAACATTCCCCAGGATAGATTAGATGTTAGGTCACAAAACAAGCCTTAATAAATTTAAGAAGACTGAAATCATATCAAGCATCTCATCTGACCACAATGATGTAAAACTAGAAATTACAAGATGAAAACTGGAAAATTCACAAATCTGTGGAGATTAAACAACCCTCTCTTGAACAACCATGAATCAAAGAAGAAATTAAAAGAGAACACAAAAAAATAACTTGAGACAAATAACAGTGAAAATACAACATACCAAAACTTATGGGATGCAGCAAAAGCAGTTCTAAAAGGGAAGTTCATAGAGTTAAATGCTACCTACATCAAGAAACAAGAAAGATCTCAAATAATAATAATCTTTGCACCACAAGGAATTGGAAAAAGAACAAATGAAATGCAAAGTAAGTAGAATGTAGATCTTAAAGGTCAGTCATGGGGGGAAATATACAAGGCAGTAACTGTAGTTAGTAATACTGTGTTACATATTTGAAAGTTGCTAAGCGAATACATCTTACAAGTTCTCATTACAAGACAAGAACTGTGTGTGGTGATGGATGTTGACTTATCTATCAAAGTATATTTGTCAATGTCAACGCAGGCATAAGAGTATCTGGAAGGATATGCTCCAAGCAGTTAGCAGTAGAGGTCACTATCAGGCAAAAGGAGAGACAGAGACAGATAAAGAGACAGAGAGACACAGAGAGAGACAGTGGGAGGGAGGGAGGGAGGGAGAGAGGGAAGAGGGGAGGCTGACATTTTGTCTTACATGCCAATGTAAGTCTGTATTGCTAAAATTTAAAAACCAGTTAAGTATTATTTTCATAACTAAAATAAAGCAATACTTTATTTTAACATATTTTGATTTCTAGGTGTATAATTTAGTTAACTAAGTAAAAGCAACAGAATGAAAGTTGTTAGATACCTGGACCTTTTAACTGGCTTCCCTGAAAGAGCACAGGAAATCTGTTTTTCATGCCAATCAAATGTCATCCCTCCCATGCACCAGGGCAAATTTGTTCGGGATGTGAGT